TCTTGTTCACCTGTATTCCTGATGATTGCTCCATCTTATTCATATATGCCCCTGTTGATGACTGCCCCATCTCATCCACCTGCTTCCCTGTTGATAACTACCCCATCTCATCTACCTCATCTTCTCCATCTGTGCTGACATTAATGATTGCCTGATCTTGTTCACCTGTATTCCTGATGATTGCTCCATCTTATTCATATATGCCCCTGTTGATGACTGCCCCATCTCATCCACCTGCTTCCCTGTTGATAACTACCCATCTCATCTGCCTCATCTTGTCCATCTGTGCTGACATTAATGATTGCCTGATCTTGTTCACCTGTATTCCTGATGATTGCTCCATCTTATTCATATATGCCCCTGTTGATGACTGCCCCATCTCATCCACCTGCTTCCCTGTTGATAACTACCCCATCTCATCTACCTCATCTTCTCCATCTGTGCTGACATTAATGATTGCCTGATCTTGTTCACCTGTATTCCTGATGATTGCTCCATCTTATTCATATATGCCCCTGTTGATGACTGCCCCATCTCATCCCCCTGCTTCCCTGTTGATAACTACCCCATCTCATCTACCTCATCTTGTCCATCTGTGCTGACATTAATGATTGCCTGATCTTGTTCACCTGTATTCCTGATGATTGCTCCATCTTATTCCCTGTATATGCCCCCCTGCTGATGATAACTACCCCATCTCATCCACCTGTGCTGCTTCCTGTTGATAACTACCCCATCTCATCTGCCCCATCTCATCCTCATCTTCTCCATCTGTGCTGACATTAATGATTGCCTGATCTTGTTCACCTGTATTCCTGATGATTGCTCCATCTTATTCATATATGCCCCTGTTGATGACTGCCCCATCTCATCCACCTGCTTCCCTGTTGATAACTACCCATCTCATCTACCTCATCTTCTCCATCTGTGCTGACATTAATGATTGCCTGATCTTGTTCACCTGTATTCCTGATGATTGCTCCATCTTATTCATATATGCCCCTGTTGATGACTGCCCCATCTCATCCACCTGCTTCCCTGTTGATAACTACCCATCTCATCTGCCTCATCTTCTCCATCTGTGCTGACATTAATGATTGCCTGATCTTGTTCACCTGTATTCCTGATGATTGCTCCATCTTATTCATATATGCCCCTGTTGATGACTGCCCCATCTCATCCACCTGCTTCCCTGTTGATAACTACCCCATCTCATCTGCCTCATCTTCTCCATCTGTGCTGACATTAATGATTGCCTGATCTTGTTCACCTGTATTCCTGATGATTGCTCCATCTTATTCATATATGCCCCTGTTGATGACTGCTCCATCTCATCCCCCTGCTTCCCTGTTGATAACTACCCATCTCATCTGCCTCATCTTCTCTATCTGTGCTGACATTAATGATTGCCTGATCTTGTTCACCTGTATTCCTGATGATTGCTCCATCTTATTCGTATATGCCCCTGTTGATGACTGCCCCATCTCATCCCCCTGCTTCCCTGTTGATAACTACCCCATCTCATCTGCCTCATCTTCTCCATCTGTGCTGACATTAATGATTGCCTGATCTTGTTCACCTGTATTCTGATGATTGCTCCATCTTATTCATTATGCCCCTGTATATGCCCCTGTTGATGACTGCCCCATCTCATCCCCCCCTGCTTCCCTGTTGATAACTAACTACCCATCTCATCTGCCTCATCTTCTCCATCTGTGCTGACATTAATGATTGCCTGATCTTGTTCACCTGTATTCCTGATGATTGCTCCATCTTATTCATATATGCCCCTGTTGATGACTGCCCCATCTCATCCCCCTGCTTCCCTGTTGATAACTACCCCATCTCATCTGCCTCATCTTCTCCATCTGTGCTGACATTAATGATTGCCTGATCTTGTTCACCTGTATTCCTGATGATTGCTCCATCTTATTCATATATGCCCCTGTTGATGACTGCCCCATCTCATCCCCCTGCTTCCCTGTTGATAACTACCCATCTCATCTGCCTCTTCTTCTTGTCCATCTGTGCTGACATTAATGATTGCCTGATCTTGTTCACCCTGTATTCCTGATGATTGCTCCATCTTATTCATATATGCCCCTGTTGATGACTGCCCCATCTCATCCCCTGCTTCCCCCCTGTTGATAACTACCCATCTCATCTGCCTCATCTTGTCCATCTGTGCTGACATTAATGATTGCCTGATCTTGTTCACCTGTATTCCTGATGATTGCTCCATCTTATTCATATATGCCCCTGTTGATGACTGCCCCATCTCATCCCCTGCTTCCCTGTTGATAACTACCCCATCTCATCTGCCTCATTTTGTCCATCTGTGCTGACATTAATGATTGCCTGATCTTGTTCACCTGTATTCCTGATGATTGCTCCATCTTATTCATATATGCCCCTGTTGATGACTGCCCCATCTCATCCCCCTGCTTCCCTGTTGATAACTACCCAGCTCCTCTGCCTCATCTTCTCCATCTGTGCTGACATTAATGATTGCCTGATCTTGTTCACCTGTATTCCTGATGATTGCTCCATCTTATTCATATATGCCCCTGTTGATGACTGCCCCATCTCATCCACCTGCTTCCCTGTTGATAACTACCCATCTCATCTGCCTCATCTTGTCCATCTGTGCTGACATAAATGATTGCCTGATCTTGTTCACCTGTATTCCTGATGATTGCTCCATCTTATTCATATATGCCCCTGTTGATGACTGCCCCATCTCATCCACCTGCTTCCCTGTTGATAACTACCCAGCTCCTCTGCCTCATCTTCTCTATCTGTGCTGACATTAATGATTGCCTGATCTTGTTCACCTGTATTCCTGATGATTGCTCCATCTTATTCATATATGCCCCTGTTGATGACTGCCCCATCTCATCCCCCTGCTTCCCTGTTGATAACTACCCCATCTCATCTGCCTCATCTTCTCCATCTGTGCTGACATTAATGATTGCCTGATCTTGTTCACCTGTATTCCTGATGATTGCTCCATCTTATTCATATATGCCCCTGTTGATGACTGCCCCATCTCATCCACCTGCTTCCCTGTTGATAACTACCCAGCTCATCTGCCTCATCTTCTCCATCTGTGCTGACATTAATGATTGCCTGATCTTGTTCACCTGTATTCCAGATGATTGCTCCATCTTATTCATATATGCCCCTGTTGATGACTGCCCCATCTCATCCACCTGCTTCCCTGTTGATAACTACCCAGCTCATCTGCCTCATCTTCTCCATCTGTGCTGACATTAATGATTGCCTGATCTTGTTCACCTGTATTCCTGATGATTGCTCCATCTTATTCATATATGCCCCTGTTGATGACTGCCCCATCTCATCCACCTGCTTCCCCTGTTGATAACTACCCCTCATCTCATCTACCTCTATCTTCTCCATCTGTGCTGACATTAATGATTGCCTGATCTTGTTCACCTGTATTCCTGATGATTGCTCCATCTTATTCATATATGCCCCTGTTGATGACTGCCCCATCTCATCCACCTGCTTCCCCTGTTGATAACTACCCCTCATCTGCCTCATCTTCTCCATCTGTGCTGACATTAATGATTGCCTGATCTTGTTCACCTGTATTCCTGATGATTGACCATCTTAATGATATATGCCCCTGTTGATGACTTGTCTCATCCCCCCTTCCCTGTTGATAACTACCCCATCTCATCTGCCTCATCTTCTCCATCTGTGCTGACATTAATGATTGCCTGATCTTGTTCACCTGTATTCCAGATGATTGCTCCATCTTATTCATATATGCGCCTGTTGATGACTGCCCCATCTCATCCACCTGCTTCCCTGTTGATAACTACCCAGCTCATCTGCCTCATCTTCTCCATCTGTGCTGACACTAATGATTGCCTGATCTTGTTCACCTGTGTTCCTGATGATTGCTCCATCTTATTCATATATGCCCCAGTTGATGACTGCCCCATCTCATCCCCCTGCTTCCCTGTTGATAACTACCCCATCTTATCTACCTCATCTTCTCCATCTGTGCTGACATTAATGATTGCCTGATCTTGTTCACCTGTATTCCTGATGATTGCTCCATCTTATTCATATATGCCCCTGTTGAGGACTGCCCCATCCCATCCACCTGCTTCCCTGTTGATGACTGCCCCATCTCATCTGCCTCATCTTGTCCATCTGTGCTGACATTAATGATTGCCTGATCTTGTTCACCTGTATTCCTGATGATTGCTCCATCTTATTCATATATGCCCCTCTTCTCATCCACCTGCTTCCCTGTTGATAACTACCCCATCTCATCTGCCTCATCTTCTCCATCTGTGCTGACATTAATTTGCCTGATCTTGTTCACCTGTATTCCTGATGATTGCTCCATCTTATTCATATATGCCCCTGTTGATGACTGCCCCATCTCATCCACCTGCTTCCCTGTTGATAACTTGTTCACCCCATCTCATCTGCCTCATCTTCTCCATCTGTGCTGACATTAATGATTGCCTGATCTTGTTCACCTGTATTCCTGATGATTGCTCCATCTTATTCATATATGCCCCTGTTGATGACTGCCCCATCTCATCCCCCTGCTTCCCTGTTGATAACTACCCCATCTCATCTGCCTCATCTTCTCCATCTGTGCTGACATTAATGATTGCCTGATCTTGTTCACCTGTATTCCTGATGATTGCTCCATCTTATTCATATATGCCCCTGTTGATGACTATCCTATCGCATCCACCTCTGCTTCTGTTGATGACTGCCCCATTTCATCCACCTGTTAATGACTACCACATGTTAGTTGTTTTATATTCCTTATTGTGGATGACTCATTTCTTTTATTTTGTGTTTTACTTCCTGATGAAAACAATTGATGCTATTTGCAAAACTGTTGTCTTCTACAAACAAATGATGACTCTTCTTTATTTATATTTTGTGAGGTAGGTTGGTGAATTTTGATAATCTTGATTGAATATTTTATTGTTTTGCTTTTCCAGCTCCCTCTGGCTTGTGTAGCTTGGCAGGTAAAAAGAAAATCACATTTGGTGAAGATTTATTCTCAAGTTGCGTTATTTTTCTCACACAAGATTCTCTAAATGATTGTCAAAACTTAAGGTGAGTTCTTTTGCACCATTTTCATTGCTACTTCTTGGATTAGACCAAAAATGGATGATTGCTGCCATATTTTATGCTGGAGTTGATTAATCCTCACTTCTCAGCTTTCAACATCATTTACCCACTTTTGTGAAGGGGGATTTAATCTCCATCCTGTAACCTCTTTCACACAGTTGCAAAATTGCAAACCCATCTCTACCCTATCACTATTTCTGTGAGAAATGTCCTGAGAAGCTCAATTCTTTAGTTCCACTAATTCAGACCTTTACATCTAGGATATATTATCCTCTTTATTGCTTCTGTATTCCATTTACAATCCTTCTGAAGTTATTATGTAAATCATCTAAAACCGCAGTAATTCAAATTTGCTTTGTCAAATTTTTGTCCAATTTTAAACAATTAATTTAGACGTCAGAACAAAGCTTAAGTTAAATCTTTAGGTAGTTTTAACACATTTTATTAAAATTATTCAATTTAATATAAAAACTACAGTCTGAACTTATGATGTAGATTAAACTATTTCCATTTCCTCTAATCTAACCAATCTACAGAATTGCTAACATACAGATTGACTATTCTGGGTTTGGCTTGAAATTCAAACAAATATTGCCTGAAGAAGACCCAGGTGTACAATGGCCGAAACATTGTGAATGTGACAACAAAGATAAGGACAACAGTCCAAACAATGGAAATAGTGTGAATAGTTGTAATTCCTCATCTTAGAAATATATACCGATCCTAAAGAAGGTTGAAACATACAATGGCCGAAATATCTTGAATATGAAAATACAGGTGAAGACAACAACCCAAACAATGGAAATAGTATAAATAGATACAATACCGCATCTCAGAAATATAGGCAGATAGTTTGAACATGTTTTATTTAAGTTATTGCATTTATTATAAAAACTGCAGTCTGAAATTATTATGCAAAACCAGAAAATTCCTTTTTACTTCAGTAACAAGGTAATAAAATCACCAACAATTGATCAAGACCTATAATAGAACAAATATATATGCCTGAGTCAATCCTTCAAATCTACAAATCAACCATTCGTCCTTGCATTGAATACTGTTGCCATATATGAGCTGGTCTCCCCGCTGTTCATCTTGAAGTCTTCAACAAAATCCAGAGACGGATATGCAATGTAATAAGTCCTGATCTGACATCTCATCTACAGTCACTTTCTCACAGACATGCTATAGCTTTCCTCTATCTTTTCTATAATAATTTTCATGGCAACTGCTCTGACAAGCTACTTTCACTGGTTCCCAAACTGCATGAATTTAAGCATGCTACTAAGTTGGCATCTCAGTCCCACCCTTTCACTATCGAAACAGTTAAATGTAGGCATCTCTTCTACTCCAAAAGCTTCTTATTTCGCACTTCCTAACAGTGGAACTCCCTTCTACTTACTTGCTTATCTGATAGCTATAATCTTCAAATATTCAAATGTCATGTCAAATGACATTTTCTGATGCCTTGATCTTGATCACCATCCCACTCTTTATCCTTTCCTCAAACACCCCTCTTTACTCTCACTCTCTGTAACTCCTTATATGCTAGTGGCGCTCCTACTGTACTTGGGGTGATATGCTTAAAAAAAAAAAAGAAGTCTTTGAAGCATTTATATTTTAATATAGTGACTGTTCTTCTCATTAACTGCCAGCAGTCTATTATCAGTTAATTTGTTAAATTTTTTGCATTTTTTTATAATTCCAATAACTTTAATAAAACATGTTGAACTTACCTACAAATTTAACTCAATCTTTGTTTTGACATCTAAATTAATCATTTAAAATTTGACAAAACTTGTTTAAAATAAATCTGTGTTATTGAGGTTTTTGTGATTTGCATAATAACTTCAGATGGACTGTATAAGCAGGAAGTTCTTCTCAGACATTATTTTCCCAAGAACTGCTGCTTTGTGGAACAGGCTACTGTATGAATGCTTCCCTGAACACGACCTCTTCAAGTCAAGGGTCAATTGTTATCTATCCTCCTTATCTTTATAACCTTCCCTTTCTACCACCCCCCTCTTACATTCATATCACACACCTCATTCAGTAACACTCTACCTTGAATGGCTCTCAAGCCTTGTATTGGGTGAGCTGTTAGTATATATATTTAAAAAGCATGATTACATCAAATGAAAAAGAGAGAGATTGAATCATGTTTTTTGATGGCAAGAAAAATATCTTCACATTTCCAGAATATATTATAAAATGTTTACATGATGTTGCATTGGCCATGATGAAATATCTTTCCTCATTATTGCGTGAAGATGAATTTTTTACATTCAAATATTTTCTCCATCTCAAATGAAACCCCACATATGTTTGCTAGAAAAAAATTTTAGAAATTGTCCCATGTTTTTTAAAAAATCTTTCTTCATTTGTTCCCAGGAAATGGCTTTTTTACCAACTGAGTCGCTTGATGCCTTCGGATAGAATTGGCCGTTATGGGAACAATGGTGCACAACGTAGTTCTGATTGGATAAAGGTCCTCAGGTTAGATTGCTTTCATCAAATTGTTTCTTTTTTCACCATGACGAGCAGGCATATTTTAGGTTAAGCATTCTTTCTGTATTATTATTAATTAGTGAATCTATTTTATACAAATATAAGTGTCACTTGCAATAGTCATGAGAGTGGGATGTTTTCAAATTTGAAATAAACCTGCTGGTTCAAATAAGCATTCTGCCTGGAATCCTTATATAAGTTTAATAAATGTGGAAAAAAAGAATCATTCCATAGAGAAAATTATTTGAGAAATAATAAGCATGCCATAAGAAGTGAGTGCAGCAGTGACATAAACTGAAAGAAATAATTCATGTCAGTGCTTGTATTTGGTGCATGAAATTACACTTATGGGCCAAGCTCAAAATGGTAAAATACTCAGCTTTTAATGGTTTTAAGAAGAAAACATTAGTCAAGAAATAAGCTTAAAATGTTAAAAAAAAAATTGGTAAAGTAACTTAATATGGAAAACCTTTTCTGTTTGGTTTCTGTAAATGTCTACACCATATTGGTAAATTTGCAGACAATATATTAGAAAAAGAAGAGTCAATGTATTTGTTTTGAAATATTACATCTCATGTAGTACAAGGCCAACCGGGGATGGAGAAAGGTTGGTCATCACTATCCTACACTTAGTTAATCTGGTTCACAATCCATTCATTCATTACAATTTACTCATGCACCACAAGAGCTCATTCATCACCATTCTGTCCAGCACATAGCATAATACCACATATTCACAAGAATTCTACTAAAATATCCATGACAAGAAAATATATACAATTGTTTTTTTTTTGTTTTTTTATCCATTCCATTAAAAAATCAACAAGAATGAGGTAAAAGATTTTTCTGGCTAAACTGTGTTTAATGTAAAACCAAATATTTTTACAAGGTTCAAATCTGGATTCTGACCAAACCAAAATATGAGTCTGATTGACTTCTTCAAGTCACTTTTTGATGGTCTTTGCATCATTGATTAATTCATTCATTTTTTATGGCTTATCAACCGTTTGCAGATTATTTAAAACCAAAAAATATTTTTAGATTCTGAAATTTTTTTAACATAATAACAGTTTAGTGATGCAAGTCTTACTTATTAACCCATAGCTGAGGGAAGAAGAGGTTGATTCATACTTTTATCAAGAGTATTTACACGTAAGTAAATATAACAAACCCAACTGGAATTGGAACTCGGCTCTCTGATTAACAATTCTGAGCCATTATCCATTACACCACCAGCAAATTCAAGCTTACAGCACCTGGTATTCCCAAGCAGTCACCCATCGAGGTACTGACCAGGCTTGAAGTTGCTTAACTTTGGTGATCATTCAGGAACCAGTGTTTCAACATGATGTAGCCATAAGCCAATTTAATTATGCCAGCATTTGTATTTCATACAGAAGTTCATAGTGAAAATTATTCTATAAAAATCAAACAAAATCTATAATGTATTGTTAAGGCTTCTTTTTCTTCTTGTATTTGGGGGAAGGATATGTCTGTGTGATATGATACATACTTACTTATTCTGACCAGATTAAACTATAAGCTTGATGGTCTAGACTTACTTTTTTCTGTGGCCTTTACAAAAGTGCATACAGGAAAATTGTCTTGTTGAAAAATAACATCTGATTGTTCCCGTTTAGAAAACAATGTTTCAATTGCAGGAAGCACATCTTTCTGCAATATCTACATTGTCTTTTCACATTTTGGATCTATTTCATTCATTTTTGCCTACAAGTATACACTAGTAAAGAAGATAAGATTTCTTCATGATATCAATCATATCATATCATGATATCAGTATTCTTCTCTTATCTATTACATTCACATTCAAGTGTATTCCATCCCCACAGTTAAATAGTAGGACTTGTACCTGGAAAAAACCATTGTTATCTTCAAGAAAATTGTTGATGCAATATTTATTTGCAAAAATAAATATGTTTTGGCTTTAAATAACCCACAAAGGGTTGATAAACCATAAAAAACAAGTCACTCTTCACTTATCTTTTGAAAGCTCTTCAAAGATACAATAAGACGTGCTCAGATCAGGAAATTGTAGTTCATCTAGTGACTAGTATATGAAAATATTTTACACATAAAATATAAAGTAAATGTTACATACCAGCAAGACAAATAATCTAGCATAGAAGTGAAGTGTGCTGTTAATTCAGTTGAACTACAAAAATATCTCTACCACCCACCAGGTATTGTAAGAATGAAACAGGAAGTAACTGGATGATTCTTAACCTAAAACAGTTCCATTCTAAATAAGGGTTTCTAAAGGAAGATAAAACAAGGGGTAATTAATTTGGTAAAACAGACAACATCCTGGGTAAGATTAGCAAAACTACATCCGCCTCCAACAGCAAGGCCTCTGATCAGGAGGTTTTGAGGGATGTGAAACCATCTCTTAATTGCTGGTGTTTCCAGGTCCACCCTGACCCAAGTTGGTAGCACCTGTTAGGATCCCAGCTATGGGCAAATAGTTAACCCCCAAACTGGGGTCAAATCACTATGAAATTTTTGAAGGAAAAAATATTACCAGCAATACATCATTACCAGCAATACATTTTTGGAAAAAAGATATTACCAGCAATACATTTTAAAAATATATATATATATTACCAGCAATACATTTTTGAAGGAAAAATATTACCAGCAATACATTTTTGGAAACAAAAATATTACCAGCATAAAAACTTTGTGTTGATATGCCATAAAACAAAACAAAATAAACCAAGCCAAAACAGGCAATATATCAGAAACACCAATATTGAATAATTTTTTAATATTTAAAAAAAAAATGGATAAATGCCCACAGCCCAACTGAATATGTTTGCCAACCCCCAAATGAACACTCGCAGTGCCCCCTTTCAACATAACAGAGCCCACAAGGAAGTGCTACTGCTCATGTTGGGAAACACTAATGTACTCAATGATCTCTTCTTCCTATTTAAATATTTAATAATATATTGCTAAAGAAAATTAATTATCTATTTTTAGTCAAGAGTTTAAAATTATTAAAATTAGATCTAGTGGCTATCACAAATTATACAAAACTTTGAAATATAAATGTCTATCATTCAGCATCTTAATCAGAGTTTGTCAGTTATTTGCACTGAAAAGATTTTCATTGATTTCACGTATCTCTATTACACTTGCTACCATATCTTCTTTCATTATGAATTTTATACCTGAAAAAGGCTGTAGAACTGATCAGCCAAAACAATGTAATCTACACAAAGCAACACAAAGAACAAGTTTAGTAGACCAGACAACCACCAGAATAAAAACTATTTGGATTCATTTGTTCCCGGTTTTTTGGGTTTTGTTTTTTAAATTTTCTGTTTGTTTTCAATTTTTAGGGAAAATATCAGTGATCAGTTTCCAGACATTGTTCCTGTGCCTGAATTTAATTCTACAAATATGACCATGGAAAATATTAGTAGCACAATTGATGTTTCCCTACCCTGGACCACTGAATCTACAGTGGCTAATAATAAAAGAAATTTTTCTCAAGGGACTTGTATCCAAATGCCTACTGGGGTTGTTCTGGACATTATGTATGCAAACACAGGTCTCGTACAAGGCACACCAATTAAAGAGATTATTGGAGCAAAAGCCAGGTAAGAAAAAAAATTAACATATTAAGATCAGAGATTAATAAAAAATAAAGAGTAACAGAAAAGATTAGCAAAAATGAAGATTAATGGTAATATTAACCATTTCCCTATAAGGAAACATTTGGCATTCATTGACCAAACAGCTAATACTGCATTTGGTCGTAATTTAGAAAAATCTTTCTCTTAAAACTTGTTAGGAAAACAGGTTTCTCAAGTTCAGTAACTATTATAGCTCTTTCCAGTATTGATGGGTGTTTCCTTCTTAACCTTTTATTTGAAGTAGTGTAGAATGTGAACATTATGATTATGTCATTATTTTCTCTTCAAGTTACAGGTGATGTAACTTATAAAGAAAATATTATATCTTCATTTTTGTTAATCTTTCTTGGCTTAAGTCATCTCATATAAAGCCTTTTTGAAGATATGTCAATTTTTCTTAAATATTATATGAAAAAATAAAACCCACCTTAGGTAATAATAAAAATATCAGAAACATCAAAACACTAAAATAACAATAAACACATATAAAATCATATTTAAATAAATTTAAAAAAAATATTATGTATACTATATATATATATATATATATATATATATATATATATATATATATATTATATATATAAATCATAAAATCAAAAAACAAAAAATTAGCATAATAAAGTCTGTTCAACATATGTTATTTCAAATTTCTGCCAACAGGTGGCACTCATACATTGTTTTCCACTCCAACACCAATTTTGAATTCAGGCTTGTTTACATATGTGCTCTGCCGTTGACGTTCTTTCAATTACATTTAATTTGTGATTTAGAATACATTTTTGCCCATGGCTCTGAAGAAAAATCCCAGTGCAAGTGCTAATTAGGTTAGCTAATTAGGTTAGGTTAGCTATAAGGCTATATCGCTGTAAGATAAGATGAAAATTAATTATTTTATTCAGAATACTGTACATACGTATCATAAATACTGTAATAGGCAATGAGGAGTGCTTATTTGCAGTTTATAGTGTGGCTATTTCAACTTAAGTTGTTTTTTGACCTAAGTCATAAACACTGGAACCAATTAACAACATAGGATAAAGTATATCTGTACTGATACAGTAAACACTAAATGCAAATATAGATTTCATTGGAGATTATTTTACAATAGAAATTCCTTGCAGATATTTTACTATAGTAATTCCTTGGAGATTATTTTATTATAGAAATTTGATGGAGATTAAATAATCTTATTTTATTATAGGAATTTGTGGGAGATTATTTTATTATAGACATTCCTTACTACATTTCCATTACTATAGAAATTCCTTGGACCTTATTTTCTATAGGAATTTGTTGGAGATTATTTTACTATAGAAATTCCTTGGAGATTATTTTACTATAGAAATTCTTTGGAGATTATTTTACGATAGGAACTTGTTGCAGATTATTTTACTATAGATATTATAAAAAAAATAAATCACACTGAGGTAATGGTTTGCCGTTCCAATTGAGGAATCAGAGAACTGATTTCAAATTCCAGTCAAGTTACATTCGCTTACATGCTATTACCCTTGGGAAAGGTATGAATCCATCTCTTCTCCCTGCAAACTATGAGTAAATAGCATGACAGACTGGGTCCTATAGCCTTGGGTAGCAACTGGTCTAGGAGAAGGAAAAACTCTGAATTCAAAACCAGCTTGGAGAGGGTTGTACTCCATCAGACTATCTTGCCCAAGACACATTACTGCTACTGCAGTTGCAGTACATGTTGTGCCCCTATATCTCTAAAGTGCTATGGGTTAAAAAAAAATTAAAAGTACAGATGGAAAATTATGAAGGGGTGAGAATCATATTACTCTCAAAGATATTCTATAACAAATATATTTACTGAAATGTATATTTGTATATTGATCTATACCTGAGTAATCCTGTCATTTTTATGGGTACTATGCTAGTAATAATAATAATGAAAATAATAGAATGAAAAATAATGATAAGAATTAAACACTGTTCATATTAAGTATCACATAACATCAGATTCTGAGTAAATAAAAAGCATATATTTATTACTTTGCCTTGACCCCAGGCTTTGAAAAATGATCCGGTAAGTGATTATATAAAACAGAAAATAAGAGAAGATATAATGATGAACAGGTAATTTTCATGAGATTCATTTTTTTTCCTCCCACTAGTTATGTCTTTGACAATTGGACGTTCACATGCATTCAAAATGTTATGGTCGGATCTTGCATGTCACCATCTTGGAATATTAACAGCACAGAACGCTATCAATTGTTCACCTTAACATCTGTGGTTCATTTCATTCGTGTACCTGGAAGGAGATCAAAACCTGTTATAAGGTAAGATTTGAAGAATTCACCATTAATGGTCATTTGAATATAGATATATTAATAAATAGAATATTAATGGCTGTTTGAATATAGATATATTAATAAATAGAATATTAATGGCTGTTTGAATATAGATATATTAATAAATAGAATATTAATGGCTGTTTGAATATAGATATATTAATAAATAGAATACTGATTCATAAAAAATACCATATCTATTCATATCCACTTTCTCATATATTCCACCATATAAAAAAAATCATATGCCAAAGCTTATCAGTCATATTCATATACTATTCCTTATAAAATCATTCCATTTTTCCTTCTTATAAAAAATCATTGTTTTTTCTTTCTTATAAAATCATTCCTTTTTTTTCTTTTCATAAAGCCATATTTCTATATCCCCCTTGTCATGAAATCATTGCTTTTTGCCAGCTCCTAAAAAAAAAAACATCCTTTTATTTTACTTCTCATAAAATCATTCTTTTTGTTTCTCATATAAAATCATTCTTTATCTTCCTACTTATAAAATCATTCCTTTTTTCTTCCTTCTTATCAAAGCTATATTGATATTCTCATTGTCATGAAATCATTCCTTTTTTTCCGTCTCATAAAATCATTCCTTCTTTACTTCTGATTAAAAACCATTCTTTTTTTCCTTCTCATGAAATCATTCTTTTTTCCCTTCTTGTGAAATCATTCTTTTTTTCTTATTATAAAATCACTCCTTTTTTACTTCTCATAAAAGCAATAATTATATTCTCCTTGTCATAAAATCATTGTTTTTTTGTTTCTCATAAAATCATTCCTTTTCCCTTTTCATGAAATCATTCCTTTTTACTGTTGATAAAATCATTCCTTTTTCCTTGATGAAATCATTTTTTTATTTCTCATTAAAATCATTCTTTTTTCCTTCTCAAAAAAGCCATATTTATATTATCTTTGACATAAAATTATTACTTTTTTCTTCTCATGAAATTATTCTTTTTTCCTTATAATTTTTTTCTTCTTGTAATGTCATTCCTTTTTTCCTTATGATAAAATCATTCCTTTTTTAAACTTCTCATAAAAATCATTCTTTTTTTTCTTCTCATAAAAGCCATATTTATATTTTCACAGATATAAAATCATTTTTTCTTCTAATGAAATAATTCCTTTTTCCCTTCTCATGAAATCATTCTTTTTTCTTTATCATAAAGTCATTCCTTTTTTCCTTCTCATAAAATCATTCTTTTCTTCTTCTCATAAAAGCTATATTTATGTTATTCTTGACATAAAGTCATTTCTTTTTTCCTCTCATGAAATCATTCTTTTTTTCATAAAAAACCATATATCTATATCCTCCTTGTCATAAAATCATTAATTTTTTAATCATTATTTTTTTCTTTCTCATAAAAGCCATTATTATATTCCCCTTGTAATAAAATCATTGCTTTTTTTTCTTCATGCAAAATCATTCATTTTTTACTTCCAGTAAAATCTTTGCTTTTTTCTTCTGATAAAATCATTCCTTTTATTTTTCTTCTCATAAAATCATTCCTTTTATTTTTCTTCTCATAAAATCATTCCTTTTATTTTTCTTCTCATAAAATCATTCCATTTTTCCTTCTCATGAAATCATTCTTTCTTTTCCTTCTCATAAATACCATATTTATATATTCTTTGTTATAAAATCATTGTTTCCTTTTCCTTCTCATAAAATCATTTGTTTTTTCCTTCTCATAAAATCATTTTTCCTTCCCATAAAATCGTTTTTTCCCTTCTCATAAAGTCATTCCTTTTCTCTTCTCATAAAGTCATTCCTTTTTTCTTTTCATAAAATCATTGCTTTTTTCCTTCTCATAAAATCATTCCTTTTTCTCTCTCATAAAATCATTCTTTTTTTTCCTTCTCATAATAATCATTTCTTTTTTCTTCTTTTCCTTCAAATCCATATTCCCATACTCTTTCTTACATTCCTATCCACATATCCTCTGATTATTACACCTTGATTTCTTTCATCTCTATTACAATATTTTAAACCTTCTACTCACTAAAGTGCATAGCAAACATAACATTATGGCAAAGAAAGTAGTTCACATATATTTTCACAATAACAACAATCCCTCATTTGAGAAATTCCAGGGTAGAAAAAAAAGTCAGATTGCCAAAACAAACTTTGGATAAAATAACATTAAAGATGACAAAATTGGCTCAATCAATGAATAATAGCCACAAAATTATTTTTCATGTGACACTTAATAAATAGGACCTCATTTAAACGTTAGACAAACAAATACTGGTTCTCAGGCTTTGACTTTGTGATGCAAAATTGTCATGAAACGTTTGCTAAAATACTTATACTTGCTTTAGACATGAAATAATATCAAATGATGTTTTTTTTTTTATTCTAGCTAATATTGATTTATACTTATGAACACGATAATAATTTTTTAAATTTCGCTAATTTTAAGATGTGCTTTAATGGATTTCTGTTTTTTTCTCTTCAGGTATAATGAGCTGCCAGTAGAAAACAGGCATACATTTGACTTTGACTTTGGAGACATTTTCTATCTAATATTCAGACAGCCTGAAGAAGATTTTGAATTATACATGAACAAAATTGGCGTTATTCTTGTCATCATCTTTACTGCTCTTCTATCTGGATTCATTATCCTCATGTTATAAGCAGTTCAGACCCAATGTACCTAAGAGGCCACAGAATTAAAAATAATTATAGGAGGATTGAGGTCTTTTGAGCTCTATCAGAAATAATTTATCATGTGGGGTATGAAAGAGATTAAATACATGCATTCATTTCTATTTCTGTTCTTATAAAAAATACCTTAATCTTTGCTATTTAAAGTACACTGACAAGCCAAAAGTCATAGGAGAGGTACCTAGTATCATGTAGGATTCCCTCTCGCTTAGTAATCACAAAGTGACTTCTCCACCATGTCTCATAAATGCTCGATTGGGCTCATGTTGGATGACGCCTCCAGAACATTACTCAAACTATTTCTGAGCCACTTAGATCCGATGGCCCAATGCAATATGCTGCTTCTTGTTGGGGTTCATGGGATCCCTGAATAGGTGCAAATGATTATAGAGCAACTACAATGTAGCAGTCACGTAGCAATGACATGTTCAGGTAGACCAATAGACAGAAGCCATATCACGTGAATACAATCCATGCCATTATAGAACCACCCCAAGGCTGTACAGTGTTGGCAGTTGAGGTTCATGATCTCTTGGTTTATACCATGCCCAAACCTACCATCGACCCAAAACAACTGTAACCATGACTCATCAGATCATACTATATATTTCCAGTTCTGCAGTACTCAATTAGCAACATTATAAACCCATATGAGGTGTTCAGTGTTGTAGTGTTAACTGTCCATGTGAATGCTAATGCCTTCTATCAGATATTCCTGACACATGTGTGACACTGTAGATCAATGGATATCAAATGTCCTCACAGTTTTAGAAATGGAATGTTCTATATATTGGATACCCACTATCATACCCCATTTGAATTCTGATAGTTCACAACAGTTTGCCATGTGTAACCAAGCTCTTTGTTTCCATTGTCTCACCAGAAGTTTGGGTATTTCCATAACTGAGTTAAGGTGGCACCACCTACCATTATCCTTACATCCTGCAAACCCATAACTTTTGGCACGTCAGTGTATTCCCCAAATACAATAAATAAATCATAACAAAAGGAATTTTGTCAAAATTTTGTTATGAAATATATTTTGTCTTGAATTTCTATTTCCTTCATTTTGTAAGAAACATTCGTTGACAAAAAAACTTTTAGGATGAAGATTTGACAGTTTGAAATTGAATTCACTTTGTAAAAATTAACATTATTTTTTTTCCTTTTGTACTGTATGGTTACAGATTTCACAGATCTTATTTGGGTTTCACTTTTCAACAAAGCCAATTGTAAACATGTACAGGTTTCATGTTTCTGAAATGTGTTCATGGCTTATTGCTATTGTTGTTACAGATTGTTGATATTTGAAGGGTTGAACCATACAAACTTTTTTGGTTACCTGATACCATGTCACATGAACATATAATTTGACAAATATTTGTGAAAAAACTAAACCTGTAATTATTTTTTTTATATTTTAACATTATTTTGATCTATAATCATAAATATTTCATTCTGGGGGCATCAAGGGAGGGGGGAGTATGTTAAACAAATGGTTAGGTGTTAGCATCAAACTATATATTTTTTTATTTCAATATTATTTTAAATCATTTATATTCAAATATGACTAATTTTGGTGTCAGAGATCTTTAGGTACCAGTCTAAAATTAATAAGCTCTACACCAAAACCTGTCTAAATACAACCATCAGGACATGGGTGATTTTTGAAGTTCTTTTAGATAAAAGTGCATCTCATATTGTAGAAAATATGCTTTGTGCATTTATGTGTGATTGGTCCTTATTGAGAAAAACTGCTGGGATTGAAAGAGAAACTAAGTCATACACTAAGTAAAGATTCGTACTTTGAAGCCTGTCTGTCTGTTAATTCTCCTCTTGTAAAACTCATGTGAACATGTGAAATATTTATGTTAAATTGATGATTATTATTAAATGCAAATCTACTTTGATGATATCCAAGATAAGTATATAAGCGTTACTGTCTCCCTAAAACATTTTCATTCTTATTGAATTTCTTCTTGTGATTAATTCTTCTCAATTTAATCCTTAAAGTACCTTCCAAAACCTTTTTCAATTCACAAAAAATTACAAACAGATTTGACTCAAGAGATAGAAAATGGAAACCTCATTTTTAATAGACTTGTCTAAATTGGCTTAATCTTTAGATTTTGCCATCACTGGACTTTCTAATAAAGCATTTCTCATTATAACCATTAATTATATAAATAATGATTTCTATTTGTATTTTTACCCATTTGGAATTTAATATTTGTTTGTGTATATATTAGGTCAGTTTGTGTTTGTATGTGAACAATTAAAGAAGAAGCACACAAAATACTTGGGTTTCTACTATGGATCATTTATTCTCTTTTTATATATATAAACTGTAGAGAAACCAAATTCTCAATGTCTCTTTGGTATGTTCATTTACTTTACTTTGATCCAGAAGTTTAAAATAAGTAAAGATTAGCATCATATTAATGGTCAAGCTCAAGTTAGCCATGCGCTGGGTTTGAACAACCAAAGGAAAAGTGTGACTTACTTCATAAGTGGAGGTTTTGGAAGCCATATGTGAACACCATGTGTTGGAAAGTGAAAGAGAGAGTTAGCTGTCACTGGTCTGGGGAAACTAACATGTTCCAGCGAGACTGTCCATTTTTTATGTACTGCTACCTCTTGAAGCAAGGGAGAGAAAAAAAAGAGAATAAGGCAGGAAAAAGTTTGTCTTTTAATAAACTTAAGCAGTGCCAGCTAACTGCATTTGACAAAGCCAAGTGGGGGTAATCATATTTCCAGTTCCTTTACTCTTAACATTATGGGAAAATGTATTTCTTTTTTTTATTATTCATTAGTTTTATTTTATTTATTGATTTTATCATTTCATTTTCCCCCACACCCATTTACGTGTGTCTGTGTGTGTGTCTGTAACTTCTAAGTCACCAAAACAGTGCCTTGTAGCTAGAGATCTGTCTATATTTCTGAGATGAGCCATTGTAATTATTTACACAATTTAAATCATTTGGGATGTCATCCTTGTCTTTGTTGCCATATTCTCAACATTTCTGCCGTTGTATGCTCTGGCCTTCTTCAGGTGATATATGCTAAAATTTCAAACCAAACCCTTTATTTAGCCCACAGAGATAAATTGTTCTAATTCCACATGCCATGCCTTTTTGGGATATCTCAGTATCAGTTCAAAACCATTAGTTGAAGTAATCCAAAAAGTGACTTGACCCCAAAGAGTTGTAAGTCCCATACCTAACCACAGCAGAAGGAACAAAAACTTGGTGAGCTGAGTTATTAAAGGGAATTATCCAAAAACAGCATAGTTTGTGAAATTAGAATAAAGGGGTCAGTTCAAAATTTCAGCATATATCACTTGAAAAATATTAGAGCATGCAAGAGCCAAAACATTGTGAATATGGCACAATAAAAGATGAAAACAACAAATCCAAATGATGTAAATAGTGTAAACTGTAGCTAGAGATATTAAATTAAGTTTGTAGGTGAATTATAATCATAGGTAATTAATTATAAACTCCTTAATATTTAAATACTCATAAAAATGAGAAGCAGCAAGACGTGAAAACAACAAAACAACTATTGTTTATTATCTGGTTGTTATGTGGTGTTGGAGACATGAGAGACAGTAATCCTGAGTAAAATTATGAGTTTGCAGTCAAATGTAATTCAAATATAGCTTGGAATACAACAAAAAGATAAGATAAAGAATAAGTAAAGGGTATTGTATAGTCTTCTTTGTAAGTTTTTTTATAGATGCGTGTAATGTGTGTCCAGATAATTTATCTGAAAAATACAAATGTCTAGGTTTTTCTTATCTCAAATTTTTGTTGAGTGTTAAGAGATAAATATTACTTATTATGGCCAGAAAAAGGAAAAGGAGCCGAATTTTTCATTGACAGATATGTTGATGGCCTGTCCATGTTGACTGCCTGTTCAATAGTGAGAATGTCACGTTTGTGTGTCTAGAGGAGAAAAGTGGGGTTGATTCTCACTGGTTTAGAAAGAGTGAATTAATGATAATTATAATTGCTATAATTATTTTATTATAACTATTTTTGACACTATAATTATTTTTTATGGACACAAGTTATTCATCAAAATGCACTAGCTTAAATGATAGAAAAAATCCAGATATTTTGTAACTGAATGATAATATTGTGGGTTCAAATTTTACAGTCAATATAAATTTCAAGGGAGATAACTAGCATTCAATAGATAGTGAAACCTCTGTTGTCGGCTATAATCCGTTCCACAAGTCGTCTGAAAACTGATGTAATATTTCCATAAAAAATAATGTAAATCCAATTAATTCATTCCACACACACAAAAATGTTAATAAAAAATACATTTGATACAAAACAGCTATAGTTTTATATACAGAAATCAATAAGAAATAAATATTACTGACAAATAGAATAAATGAACCTTTAACTTCACTTTACTTTTTATTGAAGACTCTTCTTCTTGTTGGTGCAAAGGAAGAGGAGGGGGAAAGGAGGAGATTTGTGTTATTGTTTGGAAGGGGAATTCTCTTTATCTAGGGTTATTTCTCTTCTCTGTCTCTTTGCTCTTGGGGAAGGCATGTGGCAGCAAATGAGCAGTAAGATACAGGTACAGACTGATTTCCTTGCTCATTAACTGAGGTGTCCCTGAGACATAATGGAGGTACTCAGTGATCGAGGCTCTACTGTACAGTGTTTTTTTTTATTAACATGAAGCTTATAAGCAAGACAAGGCTCAGATTAGTCCAAAACTTAAGCATATTATAAGAATGAAGTGAAGCTCAAATTTTCTTAATGCAACTTATAGAAAATAATTGAAATTTCTAACTCTCATTAAGGTTAAACATGAAATTCAGCTCAAATAAAAAGAACAGTGCATTTCTATTAATGTTTATTTACTTACTGGTATATAAACAAAAACATTGTTTAAAAAAAATAGCTTTCTTTTTTTACCTAATACATAGAATCTAGTTCAATCTGTG